GATCCTTAGCTTTCCAAAGCTAAGGCGGCTAAGGTATCCTGCGTTCCAAATCTTCGTGGAGTAAGCTATTATTATTTGTCTCGAGGATGGATGCTGGTGATGCCTCTTCGAGTTGCTCGCCACCGCTCAATTCCAATTGACCTGTGCTGTCACCACTGTTGGAGCCGCATTCGCCGTCGACGAATCTACGATTAAATAGAACATAGATACTTTGAACAAGATTATTTTATTATGAAGCGAAAGAATTACAAAAAAAAAAAAAAAAAAACATAAGAAAGCGAAGAAAGAAAAAGGAAGAAAAGAAAAAAAAAGAAAAAAGATAAATAAATATTATTTACATGCGTACAATATGAACGTATGTACATGATGCAATTAGTTCTTCGAAGCGATCAGGAACGAGACGTGATCGATTCGTCCTTTGTAAGAATATTGATTCTTAGCGCCTAATCATTTTTCTGTTTTTCACAGTCGAGTCTCTTTAAATGAGATTTATTTTTGCGGAGCTTCGTGTATCGTTCAACTGCTAGTCGATAAATCGGGATATCATGATTTATCACCATTGACACTTTCAAATTTTCAAGACTCCGAGATCCTTGGCCTCGCGCGGCCTTATCATTAATAATCGAAATCGAAATAAAGTTTTAAAAAACGTTAGTAGTTCTCCATGCACTTTATAATTCGTCCTGTATTTATTCTTTCGAATGTGGGCATTATCGGGGAATTATTGTTGCCACGTGAAAGTTTCGACTAAAAGGTGAATTATCATATTTCTTTTCCCTTTCTCGTTTTGTTTTCCTTTTATCCGTTTACATAAAAATAAATCGTGTATGTAATAGTAATTAAAATAAATTTATAACGCGTGCTAACATGTATTCTTAATCTACTTAATGCATCGCGATTAATTTGCTACTTAAAGTGATGTAATCACGCATATTACGTAACCGGTATTCAATTAAGAAGTTCATCTCGAAAAGATCGCAAATTCTAAATCGTAGTCCGATTACGATTGTTATATATTAATTCACTGAAGTGAATTATGCAAACGTAACGTCATCATGTCTAGTCATGATAAAGAAAGAAAAAAAAGAAAACAAGAAAGTCGGATTTCTTGGAGATAGATTGAATGACGTACGTCAACCCTTTAACAGAAAATACAGGCGCCTGTATTTTCCCATCCTTGACTCTGATATCATAAATCGTTTCGTCATTTGCATATAACGAAGATTAAGTATTGCATTAGCCGTTGCAACTGACATTACTCGTTTCGATTCGTCGAGATTATAATTTTCTTATATTTGAAATTTTCTTACGATTTACATTCAAATAAAATGTATATATACAAATGAGAAAGAGAAAAGAAAAAAACAAAAGAGAAAAAAAAAGAAAAAAAAAAAAGAAAAAGAAAAAGTTGACAGGACGGTCTCTACTCCTCGGCTCGTGTTTGCTCTATTGCTAATATATATTTTTAATACTTGATACGTACGTGTTTGTTCGCGATAGATCCCAATCGAAATAGCCGGACTAAAGCCGAGTCGCTTCATTTCGGCAAACGACAAGATAATATCCGCACGAAGTACTTCGGTAACGGATAAAGCAAAGGTCGTTTGATAATATACCACTTTAACGTTTTTAATGTCAATGACAAATGTTAAAAAAGAGAAATAATATAATAAGAGAAATAATATAAGGAGAACAGCGTTCAAACATTGATTCAGATATTATGAAGTGTAACAAAGTTTATCGAAAATGTTGGAAGAAATTTAAATGGGATCTCGTTTGAGCAACATTCATGAAGTGAAGTACTTAATTATTATGATGCAAGAAGTCGCGCAGAAGTTATCGATGACATCGATCGTGATTTATCATTAATATTTATTAATTATAAATATTAATAACATGTTAATTATAGTACAAAAAGTTAGACAGATTGTAATACTTTAATATATATCTATATATATTGAATATATATAGATATATATATAATATATATCTATATATATTGAAATTCGAGTAAATCGATTATAATTTTACAGAATAAAATATAGTATTTTGCATATTCGAGATGTACATAGGCGCTGGGAACATAATTGTATATATACATTTATATACATCAAGCATTTACAGTTTCGAAAGTCTGCGAATCGTCGATAGACATTACGATCGAGTTTGTCGTACAAGTGTACTATAACTTATCGACGAATTTATATAACTTAATAACTCGTGAGTCTGTGAAGTAAAACGATAAACGAAAGAAAAAAGTGAAAAAAAGAAAAAGAAAAGAAAAAAAGAATTACAGAAAGTAAAATTGCAGAGCTCTCGGCTGTAAAGAAAAAGTACGCAAAGAAAAAGATATTTCTTAAGAACTATTTTTCGTTTATTGAAAAGAACTTAACTATATATATATATATATATATATATATATATATATATATATATATATATTTATTTATTTATTTATTATACGTTCTTCTGAATAATAATAAAATTTTCCAAGCATATCCGTTCGAGTCTTAGTTTAACGCTTATTGTTAGATAACGAATAATGTGACTCGTGCATCGTTTAAATGGATTTTATCGAAAAATCATGTTTGCTAAGTCGTTCAACGTTATCGACTATTTTCAAACGAGTTTATGTACTATATAGACGTGATATTTGCATTCTGAACGTTTCTTCTTCTTTCCTTTTTTTTTCTTTTTTTTTTTTTCAACCGTACGATTTCCTTTCCCGAAATTGATAGAAAGGTAAGAGGAGCACGAAGGTGAATACCGAGTCGAGCATCGAGTTCACGGATCTGCCGTTATAGCGGTGCAAGCGGAAAGAAGGAATGGTTGAGCGGTCGATTGACCTAATTACGATGTGGATAATCGAGAGGAATACCGATGCAAAGGTACCATCCACGAGCAACTTTCTTACGAAAGTTTAAGAAATGTGGTCTATGTCGAGAATACCATGTAAACGCTATCGAGCGTATAAAGATCGTTACCGATCGTCGGACTAACATAAAAGAGAGAGAGAGAGAGAGAGAGAGAGAGAAAATTCTAAACGAAAAAACTTTATAAATTTGCTACAAAAATTTCAATGTTCATCACACTTTCATTCCTCGATGTTTAACTTGTTACAAGTTGAAATAAGAAAAGTTTTTATTCTTGTAATCAAGATAAATAAAATCGTAACGAACTCGTGAAGAAGAAAATTGTCGGAGTCATAATAATAAAAAAAATGGAAACTATGATACGCACGATGCTGATGTTTGCGGAAACATTCGAACAATTTCGCACGATTCGACGAAACGCGAGAAAAAAAAAAGAGTACACGCATTCGATTATTCTGCGAACGATCGACGAAAGCCGTGACAGGCATGCACATCGATCGTTCGTGCATACGCGCGCTGGGAGAGACGAGTTTCAGCGCGAGTGGTTCTCCGTACCACGTGAAAACTATGTGTCGAAATAACGGTGAAAATCGATGAAGAAATAAAAATTACAAGGGGTCGTCTACATCGTTTTATTTTTGTTTAACTATTACGTAGATAAATTAGCTATATATCGATTGTTAACGTTAACGTTAAAAGAAGGAGAAATCAATTGATCGTTGTAGGAAAAAAATCATGAATATGAGAAAAAAAAAAATTACACCTAAGTCGTGGGTACATTTAAAGTATTTTTGAAAATCCACAAATCGTTATAAAGTACCGTGCGATAAAAGATTTAATATATTGCTAGGTGAAATTCCGCTGACATGAATGAGCGAATGTACGGCGAATTGTAACTACGATTACGAAATCGTGAAGATTTTCACGTAGATCAAAACAGGCAGTAAAGCACGTGAGAGGAACGAGAGAGGAAAAGTTAACGTGCTACCTTTCCTCGAGAGATCGACTAATAAAGGATGAAGTAACGATGGGAAAGATATAGAAAAAGAGAGAAAATGAAAATAGAAGCACGTGTGTCTCTTTCGCCGGTGGGAAGGAAAAAAAAAAAGGAAAAAAAAAAGAAGTAGAGGCGCGTAGGATAGACAAGCTGGTATAAGTGACTGCACAAACATACAATCGCCATAAATCGTCTTCATCTTCGTTTCGCGATGTTCCATATTTAAACTTCATGCTGTTCGTTTAACATCGTCTTTCCTTCCGTCAAGCATGTAAAGTACGATGTCGTACGTATAATTAACTTGCCGATGACAATGTGCAATGATCGTAAGATATAATAGACATTGTACATAGATCTTCGTTTGTTCGAAACAAAAGATGAAATGACCTATAAATGTTGTCATCGTAATGCGTTAACGTCTCATGCATCTAGTTCTACATACACACATACACACACACACACACACACACACACACACATATATATGTATATATATATATGTATAGTATTTATTGTACTCGTGCATACGTACATACATACATTCATATATTATACATAAATGTTACATGTATATGAACTTCTTGCATGAACGTGGAAAGTTTTGCAAGTTTTTCTTGATCGAGGAAATTGATGAATATTTGGAATCGATGTTACAAAGCGAAAGGAGGATGAAAAAAATTAAAGAGAAAAGAAAAAGAAAATATAAAAAAAAGGTACGGCGATGAAGCGTAACGCGAAGTCGACGAGAAATAATGTCGACACCATTCGAAAACAACGACGACGGCGACGGCGACGGCGGCGACGTCGACGCTGACGACGACGACGACGACGACGACGATGACGATGACGATGAGGACGACGACAACGACGATCGTGATGCGCGTCGCAAAAGTCGATTATCGTTGCCGAAGAAACGAAAGGATTTCACGTCGATTTCGTGAGTTAGAAACTTTCTTGCCGGCGCACGTCGAATGGAAATCGAGATTTTACCATACATATTCTCACGTCATTCCTTTCTTCTTCGATACGAATTTCTTATTCCTCTTTACGTTTATTTCAATTGATCGAAAAAAAAAAGAATTACATATGTACATACATATACATACATACATATATATTTATATACTTACGTGTAGGGTTGTTCCTCGCCACGCATCTCGCATATCACGTTCGTCAATGCCATTATATAGTTTTTTGCCAATGTTAAAGTTTCAATTTTGCTTAGCTTCCTCTCCATTTTGACGTGTGGTATTACTTCGCGTAATTGCTGAAAAACGATTTGTATTAAAGTTGAAACGGCGTTAGATATTCGAGACGGTCTTCTATTTTCTTCAAAAATTCTCTCCAATTTAGCGTGTATTTGATAGCGGGAGGAGTTAAGAAGATGGTCAGAGAGGATTACCTCGAACGCGTCATTAAGCGAATGCATCCTCATTCTTTCTCTCTCATTACTCTCGAGCCTTCTGAGGTTTCTCTCGCGCGCAGAAATTCCGCTCTTCCGCCTCCGTGTCGTCGGTGGTCCACCGCGATTTCTTCTTTTCGCTTGCTTCGGGCTCCTCTCGCTACCGCTGCTGTCACTCTCCTCGCCCACCTTCATTAACATGAAAAACAGATAAATCAAAGTTCGATTATTCATAATAAACTTTCTTCATTTTATTTCTTTTCATTCGAAAATGATACGTAACGAATGAAAAAGTCAATTACTGATCAAAATATCGTGACACCTCCTCAATAGTAATCAAGTAATCAATTTAAGTAATCAATTTAATAGATAACGCCAATTGTTCGATAAGATCCTTGAAGCTTTCAAAAAAAGTAAAAAAATAAAAAAAAAATAAAAAAACAAAGATTTCTATCATCGATAATCAACGATTCAAAGTTAATCATAACAATTACATAATATAAAATTCTCAAATCATTGACAATAAAATTAAAATTTAGAAACGTGAGACCTTTTTCAAATTACTCGTCACAAACTTTTTATCGGAATGAAATGTCTAAGAGGAGAGAGAGAGAGAGAGGGGGGGAGGGAAAGAGAAAGAGAGAGAGAAAAAGAGAAGTGAAATAGTAAAATTACTTAGATGTATCGTTCGTGTAAGTTTTTTGTCGTCAACTATCGAACCACCGTTCTGTAATAACTTTCGAAATCGAGATTTGGTTGATTGCGATCGAGGAATTAAAATACAATCTGACGTTTGTTAATAGCAGAACGAATTCTCAAAACGCAATTGATAAGATTAAGAATGTCGTGATATCTAACTTAATTTGTTACCGTACGCCGCTGCATAGCGCGTACTGATAAAGAATTTATTTACTAACCGACGAGTTATCGAAAGTTTAAACCTTTTTATATTCTCTATGATTTTTCGACGTACTTTGAGATTTAACAAAGTTCTTAATTTATGTATATCGACGTTCGATGACACACACATACACCCACGGTCATTAATTATGATATTACTTATCGCATATAATTAACCTGTGTTGTTCAATAATTATTGTTTTACTTTTTCTTTTTTTTTTTTTTTCTCAATGAATGAAACGTAAAGATTTAACAAGAGTTATCGAAAAGGGAATACCTCGGTGCCAACGACATGATGGCGACTCCGTTTTCCTGTAAGCGAGTCAACGGAAGCGTCGTCCAAATCGATGTACATCTCCTGATCACCACAATCCTGATCGCTACCAGACAATCTTTCCAGGCTTCGCATTATCTTGACAAAAGCCGTGACGCAAGCCACCTGCTGAAAAAGAAGAAAAAATAAATAAATAAAGAAAGAAAGAAAGAAAGAAAGAAAGAAAGAAAAAAAAATAACGAAATATCGATAATGCGAGAAATATATAGATAGAAATTAAAGCTTAAACGTTACAATATTGACGTGTGTATATCGCGTTGAAAATAAGGAAATTCATATTGCTATCGGAACATTCGTCGTGACGAATTTACACAGTTCGCTTTATTATTACGCCATGAACGTTATGTAATATTGTAGCAATAATATTTCTCTAGTATGTCAATAGCTTCGATAATGGCAAGATGGACATGGTCGATTATGAAAGTATCTAAATAGCTTTTAGAGTTCTAAAGTTTTAACTTTCTTAAAACAAAGTCGTTAGTTGACGACGAGTTTTAATGGACAATAAATGAAGAGAAAAAAAAAACAAATATATATATACATATATATATAAATAAAAAGAATTCTCTTTCACGATCTTTTCTTCCTCCCCCTCCCCCCCCCCCCACTTTCTCTCTATCTAATCTATCTATCTATCTATCTTGATTTGCTATAAAAATAAGCCTAATGCAAAAATGTTTTTAATGCAAATACGTGGAGAGTTTGCGACTATAAGCATATTAACGATTAGGAATAATGACAGATATAATGGATAGGTCTGTAGTTACGCGCTCGTTACATATACGGTTGCACCGGTAATAACGTTTCTTACAGGTTATCGCACTTTCGATAGTAACAAAGAAAATGCTTCGTAAGATAAATTCCGCCGATCGTATCTCTTGGCGAGGTCGAATGCACTCGTAAAGAAGTAAAAATGTCCGTTCACATAGCCGACGTTGTACCTCTCAATCTGGTTTCGAATCATTTTAACAGCTCGATTTTTATAATGCAATCGCGAATCGTCGCTTATCGATACCATAACGATCTGGTATATTCGTTGTGCCTCATAAAACATATTCGAGCGTATAATTTTTAACCAGTCGACATGAATATTACAATAAACAATAATTTCAAATCGAGGTCAATGAATATAGGCGATATATTTAACGCTTTTTTATTCAATGAATGTAGACGATATATTTTCCGCTTTTTACCCAAGTTAGATGCGCTTTCGATTTTTTGTTTTTCATTTCATTTATCACATCGTTGAAAAGTATAAGAGCGATGGTTATAATGAAAGAAAAGAAAGAAAAAAGAAAGAAAAAACGAAATAAAAAAGCTATACTTCCGACCAAGATATTGGATCTTTATATAAATCCTGCTAATCTTCCTTGATAATTCAAAGAATATCGATTGCACGAAGAACACTTGGAGATAAAGAGATATTTACTGGCGAAGACGGATGTGTCTTTTTTCTTCTTAGAATATTGTAGAGGAATCGAAAGAGATCGTACGGTCAAAACGAAATAAGAACTTTTGTACGTATTCTTGAGTCTCGTCATTTGACACGTACATACGTAGGAGTTAAAACGTTTCGATGAAACGAAAGATATATAAGTCGTTGCAGGGATCTCCCTGAAAATCTTACTGTCTGTGCTTTAACCGTCTCGAAAGACTATCAACGACTCTGCTCAAGAACCGAGGAGAGGAGGAGCAAGAACAGATAATAAAACTTGGGATAACCCGTGTTTTTCTCGCTACCAAGAATTTCTATTCATTTCTCGCATCTTCGATAAATAAATCTAAATGAATAATTAACAAATCACATTTACTTCGTCGTTTCAACACTAAAAGGAATCGAACATTGTAGAAAGTATCGCGAATAATACTTTTAATATTTTACCTTACAATCTTGTATACGTTGCGAGGTCAACGATCTATCTTTCTTTCTTTCTTTCTTTTTTTGCATTTTTTTTTCTTTTGTTTTAAATAGAACTAATCAACGATATATAAAAAAGTTGGACAGTTTCGAACCGGTTTGAACTGATACTATACGCATTTGGATTTCGAACTTTATATATTAATTCTTAAGCCGACCAGTTCTCGAAAGTGGAACATTCCACTATTGGACGTAACTTTTTCATTTTCTCGGACAAATTTAGAATGCCGTATAATCGATTTACATACGATCACCGACTTTCGTACAATCTCCCATTCCCAAGGATATCTATGAAGGACGGTTTGTGTAAAAATTATGATTCATTAATGATTGATTTAACAACCGCCTTAGATTTCTTTACATTCATCATATATCAATAGCGCGATAACGTTAGTTGGATCGATTAATACTAATAATAAATACATAAATAATAAATATAAGATACAGAATCATATAGAAAGCTCGTAAAATAATGATTGCGAGTCGATCGTGAAAGGAAATGTAAGTTCGATCGAACGATTCTAGTTTTCAACTAGTTTTCAATTAGTTTTCAACTGGTTTCCAACTAGACTAAGTTGATGTGTCAGTTGTTCGTAGAAAGATGGCTCGACTTTCGACTCGTCGAAAGGCACGTTTCCCTGGGATCCGTCGGCTAACTAAGAAGAGAGGAGAGAAAGGTATTTTCGGCTACCTCTAAACGAAACGGCTTTTAAATGTGTCGCACTATTATTAAGGCCTCTCTCATAGAATATAACGTGCGATCGCAAGATAAAATGCATTATTGTCGTAGTCGAATGTCCGCCGTCTTTTCCACTTGTCCGCCCACTGTCTTTAGACGGATGCAAATAGCAAGAGAATCCTAAGATATCTTTTCTCCGTCGGTAACATTTTGATTTTTAAATGATTCAGAGCTGACCTCAAATTTATACGTACCCATCTATCTATGTATTTACATTTAGCCTGCTCCATATTATAAACATCGAATGAATAAAATGCATGTGTAAGTAATTAAACATACGATTCTTGACAGAATAAATTTCGTTATCCCTCGTTAAATCTGCTCGAGAATTTTTTCCTTTGAAATAAATGAAAAAAAAAGAAAAAGAAAAAGGAAGAAAAGAGATATACACGGTATAAAAAGAAAAGAAGAAAAGAAAAAAAAAAAAAAGAAAAAAAGAAAAACAAAGAGAAAGAAGGAAAAAAAAATACAGGATACACGCGGTCCTTCGGTACTCAACGAGATCGTACTCACGTCCGTATAGATCCGGTCAGTGAATTCATTCGGGTGGAATGCAGTCGGCGTCCTTTCCCAAACGTTACCGGTCTTTGCGTATTTCGCTTCTCGTCGCGTCGTCCTACGCACGTGAATACTTTTCATGCGCATTACAAGGGAACGCAAACTTCGAGATTTTCTCAAACGAACACGAACGAAATTATAATCGATTTCTTTTTTCTCTTTCTATCTATCTATCTTTCTTTCTTTCCTTCTCTTTTTATTTTATTTATTTATTTTTTCTTCTTCTTCTTCTTCTTCTTGTTCTTCTCCTCTTTTTCTCTTCTCTCTTGTTTTTTTTGTATTTATTTTTTTTCTTTTCTTTTCCTTTTTTCTTTTTAAACGTTTCGAAAGTGAAGTGCGAGACAAATATTCGAAGAATTTCGATCTTACAAATTCGTCTCGACTGCTCTGCTTCCTTCCTTATTATGATTTGAAAAAATGTGTTGTGAAACTAGAAGGGAGAGAGGGAGAGAGAGAGAGAGAGAGAGAGAGAGAGAGAAAAGAAATAGAGACAGAGATTTCGATCGTGAAAAAATTTAACGGAGAGTTGTGGTTTCCTGCTTCTGACATAAAATAACGCTTATACACCGTCCATAAAGAACGCTTGTTTAGCAAAAATGGCAACGTTCCGCTCAAAGTGTAATCTCCTAATTACCGAAACGCGTCGGAGTGATAAATGTCATAATTAATCGAACAGGAGATACAAAATACAAAGTCTCTAAATAATTTTTACGATTTCTTTCTTAATTTTGCGAATATTAACCTCCTTATTCGTTAAAGTGAAACATCTTTTATACGTTCAGTCATTCCTTATAATTTAATCGCTTTCAACGAAACAAATAATTGAAATGAGAAATTATTTAAATCATCCAGTAATTCATAATTTTTATTGAAAAAAGAAGAAGAAAAAAAGAAAAGGATGAATGAATAATATGTTAATGTAAGAAAGAAACGATCGTTTACCTTTAGCAGCTGACTTTTTTCCGCAATGTCGATGGCGTCACTTTTCCGTCACGTCCATCGGTCACTCGGATCTACAAGTTTTCAATTCCAGAAGATGCACCAATTTTTTTGGAGGGGGTGGGGGGTATTTTTTTTTTCACCATAAAATCCTCCGATTTCTTCTTTTCAGACAAATTTTCTTTAACATTAACTTTTTCTTGACGATCTTTCCCAAAGAACTTTTCTCCTTTCCCTTTCTCTTTTTTAGTTAAGAATATATTCGTTTAGCTTCTTTGTCATTCGTCGGATTTTCCAAAAAGAACATTCCCGCATTTCAGAGGCCTTTTATAAATTCATCGATGTTGCACCGATACTCGTCCCAATGTGGCTACTCCCTTTCTACAACACGTGCCAAATTATACGGTATTGATAAGAGAGAAAACGTTATTAAATATACGAATCGTCATATTCCTTCAATGTGTGAACCAAAATGATTGGACATATTAAAAAAAATTTATATTTCTTGGAACGAGCGATCGTGTAAAAGTTAGATCGATTAATTAACAAGCGAGATCTTTTTATCAAGAGAATCTTTGATTATATCGACGCTTAAAGAAACATCCGTGTACGAATACAGGTATAGGACACTAATCCGGTTAAAGAAGTTTTTAAATGCTATTTAAATCTAAAGTTCGAAGTTCGTCTGTGTATGTGTGTCTTAAGATCGATGATCGATTATTTTTTTTTTGATTAAATGTTAATCGATGCTGAAGGAAGAAAAGAGACAGAGAGAGAGAGAGAGAGAGAGAGAGAGAGAGAGAGAGAGAGAGAGAGAAAGAGCAAGGAGAAAAATAATCTCTCCAAGTTGATCGTTAAATAATTTGGGCGCAATTTTTTACATTCCTAACGGAATTTCATTTGGAATATCACGAAGGAAATTTTTTTTCATTTTGTAACCGGTCGGTTAACGTTTTATAAACTGCATCGGAAACTCACGTACGACCTGCTGCCGATTATGAAAGTAATTGTTAGTGCTCGTCATCGGTGTATACCGTTCTTATATAACTTTATGTCCAGTTGATGCGAGAAGGAAGTACTTCGATGATAAAGACGCGCATTAGCTGTAAACAGAAATGCGGAAAATCGATCTCGATCGACTAAATCGAATTCAAAATTGAAATTTGATCGAATTGTTCGTTAAAGTGAGTTTTACGGAAAAAAGAAATTATTTGAAATCATCGTGAGCTGATTACGAAGACGTAAAAATTATATAAATTAATTTGAGGAAATACATGCATTGCTCTTCGTGTGTTGAAAGTTTGGCCGAGGGAATTCTATTTAATTCCGTAAGCATGCACGCGATAATTAACAACAAGCGGAGCTTGTGTTATACGGAGCGCATGGATGAATAAAAAGAGAAAAAGAGAAGAAAAGAGGCTCATGGAAACGTGGCAAGAGAGAGAGAGAGAGAGAGAGAGAGAGAGAGAAACGGTGGAGAGCAGCGAGCTACGGACGAGATTCTCTTCCTTTCTCCTTTCACTCGTTAATTTTTTTCCCAGACGCCTCCGTCTCGCGTACGGCCTTCGATCCGACATCGGTGAGCGCCTTTTTGACGATTCACGCTGCGCTTCTTTGAAAATCGAATGAACGCTTCTCCGAAGAAATTTTAGATTAACGATTAACTTAGCTAGCTAATTAAACGAAACCAATCGAAAATATGCCGATAGTTTTTATCGGTTTGCTTGTCCAGGTGTAAAGTCGATAAGGCGCCTGTTGACGTGCACGATCATGTAATTGTGAACAAGGAAAGAAATGTATAAGAGAAAGAAAATGTGGGAGTAGACGAGAATAATGATAACGAAGAAGACGAATACAAAGTCGAAGATGAAAAATGAAAACGACGAAGTAAAAGAAAATAATGACGAAGAGACGGAGTTAGGAGGAGAAGGAGAAGGTGAAAGAAACACACCAATCCGGGGAATTCAAGGCGTTCGAACGCCTTGACGTGTGCGCGCGTGCGCGCGTTACGACCGCGGGGCACGAACGTCATTGTTATCATCGTTTGCATTTTCCATTTCCCATTTTCATTGCGATCGTCTCTCGAAGATCGTCTCTTCGATGAGTGTTACGAGGTCATATCCGCGTACAAGCGGTCGAGCTCGCGCGAGTGTTTGTATCAATAATAAATTCTATCTATTTATATATGTACCTTTTATTTTTTTTACATGTGTTTATATTAATTGAAGATAATGAATGCAGTTGTAACTTCTTTTTATTATCATATACGATGATATTTTCATTTCAGAGAATATATCTACTAGAAAATAATTTCCACGGAATCGATAGTAATATAGATAAAAGAAAAAGAATGAAAGATAATATGAACGCTATTCGAGTTTATAAGAGAAACGAAATATATGCTGTTATTATGTATGAAATTTTGTAGACACGTGTCTACGGAAGGACGCGCTTATTATCATCGATGAAAAAATCATTCACGATTGGTCGGTTCTCTCTCGCTGACACGGACTTTCATATAATCAAAAGAAACCGGTAGGTCGTACCACACTGGAAGTACTTTCACGAGCGCGTTGTCTACGACGTAGCGGTATCGTCTTGGTCGATTTCAAAACTACGTATCTTTCTCTCTCTCTCTCTCTCTCTCTCTATCTATGTATCTATCTATCTATCTATCTACCTATCTATCTATCTATCTATCTCTCTTTCTAATTCTCCCCCTTTTCTCGCGACGCTTTCGTTCGAGACTTATGAGTTCTCCGTTGATTTTTCATCGGAGTATCAAACTTGTACGCCGTTCAAAAAAGGATCCTACGATGAAACGCGAACTACTGCGTTAGAAAGTGCACTTTAAATGTCGCTACACTAACGAACGAAGGAACGAACGAACGAACGAACGAACGAACGAACGAACGAACTAAGCGGCGAGTTAAGTAAGCAACACCGGTGTACTTTTACTTTCGCTCTCGGTAGCCGAAGAAGGTAGCAATTTCCCTCGCAAGTTCCCCGCGAAATTCACATTTTGTATTTCTCCCGACGATACTTTCTTCTCTTTATTTATATCTTTTTCTCCTTCTATATTTCCTTTACAATTATATTCGCGCATTCGACAATAACAACAACAACAATGACGATGATATCTCCTTTCTCTTTAAACTTTCCGTGCGAACGCGGACAATGTCCATGAATAAATTTAAATAACGTTACGCGCTAAGCGAATAATTTGACGCCGTGTGTTTGGACAACTTCGTATCTTCTCCACATTTACCTCCTTCTTCTTTTCCTCTTCTTTCACTCTTTCCTCCTACGTTTCTATCTCTTTCTTTCTTACATCTTTAAATCCTCGTTCTAATTATATCGACAACGCGCGTACATACTTTATCAGAGAAACCTATTCTGCAGCTGCCAATTTAAGTCGATCGCCGAACAGGCTATCTCTTTCTTTTCTCTCTCTCTCTCTCTCTCTCTCTCTTTCGCTCTCTTTCTCTGACATACACCAAACATACACGTCACGATTCATCGATCATTCTAAAACTACAAGTCCGTAAATCCGATCCATCGCCGATGAGGGAGATGATCGAATGTGAAAGTAGTATTCCGCTAGATCGAAATGTCAAAATGCTCGCTCCTTTTGCCGAATACAAATTTCGAAGGGATAGAAATAAAAGAAAGAAAGAAAAAGAAAACGAAGAAAAAAGAAGAAAAAAAGAGCACAAAGAAGAAGAGAAAAAGAAGAAAAAGAAAGAAAGAATGAAGAAACTAACACACGCGTTTCCTTTCTAACGTGAACTAAAACTTGACGCCGTACCGTTAATCGTGCTGGATTCTCTATTTCCTTTTCCAGAGTTTCTGCCACTTGTACGAAGTATAAATTAGGGATAAAGATGAAAAGGAGAAAAAGGGAGAGGGAGAGACAGAGACAGAGAGAGAGAGAGAGAGAGAGAGAGAGAGAGACAGAGAGAGAGAGAGAGAGAGAGGGAGAAAGGAAGAACTATAAATGCGCGAACACTGTTCACTGTACTCTCTGCACGCTCACGTATTATTATACACCTGCCTCCTTGGATTTTCTATTCGACACAACAAAGAACACGCAGCAAAGAGTCGCGGCTAACCGAGCGCCCGATCCGGACTGACTATAACTGTAAAGGATCGCTTGTCTCTGACGAGCCGTCAACCCCCACTCCTTTGCTTTTCTTGCCGCCGCCGCCGTCGCCGCCGCCGCCGCCGTCGCCGCCGCCGCCGCCACTGCCACCGCCGCCGCCCCCAGCAACGACGAAACAGATCGCTCTACCCCTACCACTATACTAGCACTCAAGTACTACCGGCCTAGCATAGACTCTACTAAAACCAGTTCTCTCTGTTAATGCTGTTGCTCGATGCTGCTTTCCACCTCCGGCTTTAAAACAACTCTCCAAACTCACCTCAGACCAGTTTGGAACCGTTTCACCTGCTTTGCCAGGTCTTGCCCGACCTCCTCGACACGTTGAAAACAGTCCTCGAGCTTTTCTCCCCTCCATCTCCCACTATCCTTCTCAGCATCATATCTCTCATCTCTTCTATCCTGGAGGAACAAGCCCTCCAGCTTTTATCACCTTTCTCGTGTCCAACTCTCGGAGCAGCTTGCTATCGAAGTTGTGAAAAAAAAGAAAGAAAGAAAGAAAGAAAAAAAAAAGGAGAGAAAAAAGAGAAGAAAGAAAACAACAACAAAAATGAGATACTCTCGCGGCCTTTCACTTCCACGACTGGTCCCCCGACTAACTTTTACCACGGTTTTAATTTCGAATGATTTAGTACGGCTTTATTTTGTAATTAATTATTACATTTTGAAAAGGCGGATCGTTAGTTCATTGTCGGTAATTGTACGATCTTGCGAAGATGATGACATGAGAAATATTACATGAAAGTTAATTAATGATAAATTATTACAATGAGATCCCAATTAAAGACGAAGACATCTACGACAACATATACCGAAAGTTTGATGACTCTACGTAAATAAATTCCGGACTGAAAAATTATTGACGAAAGTCCTAAGAATGATTTACGAGTTTCATGATATTTATATGTTACAAAAAGAGAGAATTTAGGAAGGGGAAAGAGAGAGTATGGGAGCCATAGGCCCCAGACATAAAACTAACGGATCGTGTAATAAAAATGATCCTTTAAACGACATTACTTAGTGTTACCACGTCAGAGTCTAAAGCACACTTTAAGATGGCCAACAATGTGTACACAAAATTTGCTTGCTTGTTTCTTGTGCAAGTAACAATGTTAGTCGTGGTTATCGTGTTATATCTAACCACAAAAAAGCCACGTAAAACTGACCCACCATGTCGGACATCCTTAAACGTGGTCGCTGCGAAATCGAAAGCCGATGGTTAAAGTAGTAATTCCAGATGTAAATTTGAAATGTAATACGCTATGTCGTTAACCTTTATCGTATTGTATCATTATCTTCGATAAAAAAGAAAAAAAAAAAAGAAGAAATAAAAAGGAATATAAATGTATATATATGTGTGCGTGTAAAGGATGAAAAAAGAAGAAAACGAGAAAATAGAAAAATAAACTAAAAAGGAAAGATAGCCGATATTGGAACGGCTTTCGCATCTCGACGGGATATCAAAAATTGCAATGCTATACATGTTGCAAGAATTTTCATTAAACGAAATGCAAAGGCCATGTAAATTCTCGTATCTGTCAACGCGTTAGACAGGTTTTTATGGTCGATTAGACCGAACGGACATTGGGAGACAACTGTTACGTATATTTAATTACCCGTTTGCGGGCCATACGTTGCGTACATAATTTTCCCATCGATTCGATAGCAATCGTTGGTTGCTGTTATATCGAGACACGTGACACAGATACGTCGTTGAGTCTACGAAGTTACGTATTAACTTGTCGTACGTTAAAGAAAAATTATTATTGAAAATATCGATTTGTGATAATAATGCCAAATACTTCTTTTCTTTTCTTTTTTCTTTTCTTTTTTGTTTTTTTTTTCTTTCTTTTTTTGTTTCGAGTCCATATCTCATAGAGTTAAATAAAAGTAAATAAATCGTATAGAACTATTTATTCCAGTACTTGCTTGTCTCGGATTTTATGCTATGTATTTTAAATTTGTATAAAAATATAAAATTGGAAAACATAATTATAATCTATAAAACATAAATTGAAAATTAAGGGCAAAAAATGTTTTTATTTTTGAACATGTTTATCTCGCTTTTATCGTGATGTATGTATATATGCACATTGTAAACGATACGTTACTGATCACATTCTTGACTGCAAATGCGTCTTATCGGTCCCACGAACTTTGCATAACTATGATATTACAGGGGAATTCTCTTTGTGCTCAAATTCTTGACAGTAAGCTATTTAGCCTCTACTACGTAAATAATAACGTTTATCTTTTTTTCACTTTTCAAAGTAAAAAGAAGATTCGGAAAAAGTCGTCTGTTTTATTCAACTTGCATGGAGATAAGAAATTCATGTAATGGAAATTAATGTATGTTATTTTTAAATCGCATTCCCAATGACTTAGCAACAAAGGGTATAATTTTCATCGATTTTCAATAAAAAAAAAAAAAAATAAATAAAACGAGCTCTTTAAACCTTGTATATACGTATGTACGAAACATGTTATTACGAAAAAATTCACAGTGATTTCTTTTGCGTATTGCCAATGACGTTTGCTCGTTTAACGGCGGTAAACCAAGTGAAGGAATTTAAATTCATGCGGTTCTTGCATACCTAATGACAAATGTATCAAACGAAAGTAAATGTTATATTATTTTTTTTATTCCCAATAGAAATACCATTTGCACCGATAATTTTCTTTTCTATTTCCTACCAGTGTTACACGTTCGACTATCGCGTATAATAACATTATGACTATTATGTCCATCGAGCTTAATCATATCTATGAATTTCAATTGCATTAATATATTTTCAAAATAAAAGAATTTCATTTGAAGCCGATGCCATGCTTTTCTCTTTTCTTCTTTCCTTCTCTTTTGAATATACACACGCATATATGATCGAGAGCGTTTACCCGAAGTCGAGAGTTTTTCTCTCTCTCTCTCTCTCTCTCTCTCTCTCTCTCTTTCTCTCTCTCTCGCTATCCTTCTTCAGATATCTCGGGCTTTTTACCTAAAATAATCAGTGCGTGAACGAGACTAAGAAAGTCGACTGTTAGAGATAGGCACGCGCGTTACGTACGCGAGGCCGTACAAAAACTTAAACGTTCTCGTACTTTAGTCTATCTCGAACAACACTTTGAACACGAGGAAGCATCGGCTTGTGCTGATAAGCTAACTATATCTGAGATAAGGTCTTACCGCTGTGTTTTTTTCTTTCTTTCCTTTTTTCATTCTTAATTTTTTTTTTTCTTCTTTTTCTTTTCCTCCTTACAAACTTTGGGAACCACCGATTATTCGTTCAATGACTTATATTGATTTATTTATGATATCGCTTAACCAACTCAAACTGTAATTGAATTACAGCAATGAGAAATTCGTTTTAACCTATAACATTTTCAACGTTGATGGCTACTTTCATTTAAATAAAAATCGTGGCTAACGCCATAGAATAAATTACTTGTCATAGTTTATAGCCACACGGATGCATCCGAGTAGAGACTCGAGGTCTAAGGTAGCGTTAAAATCATAATGTACACGAGTAACGAGGCGCACTATTCTATTGCGTAAGGTGCTATTAATTTTAGCGTAGAAAAAGCCAATACCACCTTGCTTTTATACGTGAGATTAGAAAAAGTAGAAAAATGTCAACTTCACTACTCGTTCTTATTTTATTCATTCCTCCGATAGAAATATAACCAGTTTGCTTTGTAAGTAGCAATGTAAAACAAGCATATAAACGGTCATTCTTGACATACGAGAGCGAGTCATGTAGAACGCCTACGCGCGAAGGGGGTTAATTCGCGTCAAACAATTAATATACGGCAGGTGAATGTTGAAAAGTATACGTCAAACGACCCGACGCTTGAACGATTACTAAGGCTATAATTTCAAATATTTCCATATGTGATAATTTTCGTTACGCTTCGCACCTATCTCATATCTGTATTTATGCTATATGGTATTTTTCGTCGAATAGAATGTCATTCTTTTTTTTTCTTGTCCGACTAGATGGAGTTAAATAAGTTATATCGCTTAACATAACAAATGCCTACATTATTATTATTATTATTATTATTATTATTATTATTATTATTATTATTATTATTATTGTTATTATTATTTATACCAAAGATAGCATCCTTTTCTATCTTTTATTTTTTTTTATATTCGAAGCGCGAAGCCCTCGGGCAACGATGAATACTATCGATGAAAATATCTCGGCGCATAGTTAAAAGGAGAAAGCAGAAATGGTAGCATCGCGCGTCACAGAAAGGCTAGCTTGGGTAATTCGAGAGATGGGATGACCGATTATTGCCAAGAAGAAAATAAATTGCCGGCACGGTCCAGTCACCGATATGTCCAACCGATATCAACCCATTTCATTGTATTAGATAAAAAGGCAATCACAACCACAAGGCGTATCGATAGGTAATTACTCTACCGCCGTTAACGAGCGACTAATTACAAATGCCAACTCCGCGCTCACGGCGTACACATAACTGAAACGATCGAGCTTTCTTATTAGCAAATAAATCGTAGCTACGCTACGGGGGCAACCAGTTTGTACAGAAGAGTTCTTGATATATCTATATACCACTATGGAATACTTTCCTTTGCTTTGCGATCGGAAGATCAGCGATCCTCGTTACTTGAACTTCTTTCAAAATAGTTCGCCTTTCGAGCGGTACTTACAGATCGTTTCTACATTTCGACGGTCCGTTAACGAGCGCTCGAGTTAACTACCGATTTATCGTCGCTATGAACACTTCTTTTTTCGCTTATTTAAATGGGCCTTACGTAAGTTGGAAGCCAGTAAATTCGTATCTCCAAAGGGGAAAGTGAAATATATGTACGTATCGTTGCGAGTGAAATCGAGGGATGCCTTCTTCTCGAGAGAGTCTGGTTTTTCGATTTTTTTTTCTTTTCTTTTTTTTTTTTTTGTTTTGTTTTGTTTTGTTTTTGTTTCGTACGAAACACGCTTTTTATTATTTTTATTATTTCTTCTTTTTTCTTTCTCCTTTCTTCCTCATAAATTTATTTGAACGTACATAGTTTGAGACAGACGTCGCGACGTGTGGGAAGAGACGAGTAAAGAAGGCTCTCGCTCGTGTACGCGTCCTCGGGAATACGCGTGGGAATGAGTTTCCTTCTTCATCGTGCGCGTTTAACGCGATGCTCGTGTATGGATGGATGGCGTG